ACAAGCTGAGTTTTCAGTACCTTCGATCTCTACTCGACGAAAAGATAGAAAGATCAATGTTTCAGATAACGTATCCTAATACAAGAATGTATTTTTTACCTTAAAATCAGATATCAATGTAAAACTATTGATACAAACGATGTTTTTCGGGTGAATTTATAACTAATGACAGTTTCAGTATTTGGAGTTGTTTGTATTTGTTTAGTTTTATTTAGATTGGTACACATTTCACGGTAATTTACAAGTAAATCTTGTGGTTGAAATTAACTTAATCATGTTTAATCTTCTCAAGTAATACCCAACTAATATATGATTTAGTTCTGGTTTATTAAAGGATTAAAGTTGTCACTGAACATGTATTGTTTTAATAAGTTTCAACTATCTTTAGACTTATGAATACATTCATGAGAATTTACAACATGTAATACAACACTATATAGGGTTTGGACACTGAATCAATTACTTTTAGATAAAAATCCCATAAACTTGCCTTATAATCTGAACATTAAATTAGTTAAAACAAACCTAACTCTACTGGAGAGCAAAATAGGCTAAACAAAAGGTTCTCTGCATTAGTCCTACCTATTAAATAATGCCACACGTTATACAGTAAACTCGTTTACGCCAGTCAAACGCAATTACACATTGCCAGGAACACAGTGGATTGATGTACTTCATTTAAATTAATGTAAATAACACCAAAAATTACTATAAACCATTATGTTTCAGAAGTTTGTGCAAACTACGCAAAGCTATGCGCATATAGCCTAAAGGAAGACAGTTAGTCAACAGTACCTACAACCAAATTTTTGGCTACTCTTGTCTCTGCGACTAGACTCTTGTAATGTAACTACAGTCCCAAAGTGCGAAGCGCGGTTTTGCTACAACAGATCACAAATATGAATCCAAGGATTCTCAGTCTGGGAACGCTAAAATAAAATCCATTCTAGCCTCGGATTTTCAGTCTGGGCACGCTAAAGTAAAATCCACTCCAGCCTCGGAAATAAAATGATTTGTTTTACGTTTAATTGAATCCATTATAGAAGAAAGCAGCTATAACTAATTTTTGCCGATCAAACACAACAGAAACTACAAAAATTAATCAAGTTACGCTCATGTACCTATTAAATCCCCCCCCCCCAGTGGTACAGTGGTATGTTTGCGGACTTACAACGCTAATATCCGGGTTTCGATACCCGTGACGGGCAGAGCACAGATAGCCCATTGTGTAGCTTTGTGCTTAATTACAAACAAACAAACCTATTAAATGTTACCGAGGACAACACAATGCTTCTGTCTTAAACAATTTAAAACCATTAAAGTGGAATAAATGGAGATAGTGAATTACTGCTCCCATTAAATAGGACCAAGAATAACATTGTGAATCGATATGGCGGTAAGTTTCTATAGATTGCACTTACAAATACCATTTAGTTATCTTACATAAGTCCAAACCTGTTAAAGAACATAAAAAACATACAAAGAAACGTATTCGTTAATCTGAAGCTAGAAAATATTTCCAAACATTACGTAGTAATCCATTTGCGCTAGTTAGAATCCATTAAATTCACTAAAAACGTGGAAACTGAGCCGAATAAAACTTCTTGAAACCAGTAAATATCATGAAGAACGATAATAAGTGCTTTCCTTTACGCTAGTATTTACTTATTAGATAACATTCAAAACATATTTAGTATATATTTCTTGCTCTTTGCAGATCATATGATATCACTAAAAATATGACATAAATTTGAGTGGATCTTCTCAACAATTCGAGTCACCCCATTTTTGAAAAGTTTGGTTTACTCCAGCTTATGATGTTTATATAACATCAATATTTATAAGTAGTATCGCATTACGCCAGCCCATACCAATTATATATATATACTTAAAATTATGAAATGCATTATATTAAATTAGTTTGATACTATTAAATACACTAATAGCAGTACAGTGGGTGGGTTTAAGCAAATCGGAAACCATCAAAAGACACTAACACCTAGAAACAATCAGTTTATTACTTCCTGAATGTAAGAAGTAGCGAAGAGATCTGAAAAATGAATCGAAGTCTGAACTCCCTACAACACCAAAAACTAAAACTGTTATACAGTATATTAAGAACTAAAAGATGAGTAGGTGCATTCCAGTTGAACTCCATTAGACCAGGTTATCTGAAGTTTAGCCACTATTTAAGTATATGATACAAAACTAAAGAAGATTCAAGAAATATTTCTGTCAACAGTGTCGTACACAATTTACTTTAAAAGTAATAACAATTATTATTACTTTCAGCGTCGAAGGAATAATTATACATAATTAGTGTAGTTGCACAAGGGCATGTTCCCTCGGAGAGCGTCGTATAATTTTCCAAATTCTGGTTAAATTCGAGTGAACAATATTTATTTACCAGTATTGAAATACTATATCTCTAGATTTATGCATACCCATTGTGGAGGCCGGATATGAGCCTCATGCCAAATCCAACACAACTCTACTGTCACTTCACTAATAGGGTGAAAACGGCAACCATGAAAGGTCTTCATCGACATTCGGAGGGAATGTTACTGTTGGAAAACAAAGTATCGTATTCTCTTGCTAGGTAAAATACAAGAAGAAGAATCTCTTGGATGATAAACAGCCAGAAGGTCACTGGTAATATGAATAAAGGAACTCAGACTACCTACTTTGAAGCAACCAACCTCCACATGAATGGTCACTGCAACTCAACTTTGCAATGTTCAACGAGAATTGCATCTATTCTTTTGTCTTACGCTTCCATTTTATCATAATTTTTTTCTGTAATTTTGGTGATTAATTATATATATATACCAATAATCATAGTATTACCCCATTATTTTTAGTTTTTACTTATTTTTGAGATGAAATTTATTTTACGAGTTTAATATTGACTCAAGTCCCTCATAAAGTATCAAGTTCGAGTGGAAGAGGCTACAATAAGTTTCCTATGTCTTGGTCCATCATTCTCTTTGTCCGTATATCCTGTCGAATTACAATAATTTTATAATATTTTAATAAGCAACATCTTGAAAGTAATCTGATATTGTAATTGATTAGCCACAAGCTACGGAAGTTGTTAAATATAACGACTAATATCGTTATTAAGTGTAAAAACAGGATTTTCTGCAGGAATATAGGAATATGGAGCACCCAAATATTTCTCAAACTAGATGTTGGAAATGTCCAAACTAACGACGTTATATGATATCGCATTTATTTGTGCAGTTCTAGATTGACATAAGAGCGACTTGGATATTAAAACTTTACTGATGTTTTTTCAAGAGCTGCAATATATAACCTAGGTAGAGGAAAAGATATGTTCAATATAAATATGTAAGAAACATCAAAGGATTAAGACAAATTACACATCCAAGACACGTCAAACCCTGCAACAAATCTGGCTAGTTATTATCTTGTTATACTTCAAATTTCTCAGTTTTTTTTTCTGCTCCTTGTATTATAGTAAGTGGTCTTACTTAATCTTCCAAGGAAATATTTAGTACTCTGACTAATAAGTTGTTTTGTTATTCTAAAATGACTACAAATCTCCAGAAGACTGTTAAGATTAAAGAGTATATGAGTACGGCTTCGCTTGATTTCTAACGAAAGAAAAAAACATTGCAAACTTCGTTATTTTTACAATAAGAAAACTTCAGATTGCAGGTCTTAAATATGTATCGTAACATTTTACAAGCGGTTCCATACCAAAGACATTGTACACATGCACACACACAATTTCTATAAGTGGTGTCACGTGGCGCGTTACAAACCAAATGTACTATTAAGTAGTGGCTAGCCACACGAACTTAACCTTCATGCGTGTTCAGTAAATTCACTTATTGTTTGAAGTTTATTAATCTTTCATGTTAAAAGTTTTTATTACCGTTATCTTACATGAAGTATAGTCCATTTGGTGACGCAACATCATAAATTACATCGGTTAATTAAAAACGCTTCATGATTCATTTTTTCCCATTTGATGATTATGCTTAGTGCGGAATTATGTTTTGGTGAATGAAATAAAGTATTTATATCTACCTTTCTAGCATCATTTCTTTCTGTCAAACATTTATCTGTTAATCCATATGATTCTAGCGCCTATATTTGTATGCTTTTCTACACATCTGTCTACTCATCATAACAGCTTATCATATTGGATCTTGCACTGATAATATTGATATTCATAGAAGACGTGCTTAATGTGTCAATCTCATTACAGCGCATTTCATTTGTAAATTTCAGGCATGTTTATTTCCGCAATTATTTCGATCTCAAGACTTGTGACATATTTCAGATATTAAGAAACCTGCTAATTACTTGAAAACTTATGGGAAAGAGTTCTTTTTGTGTTTCTTTCTAAGGTACATCGTTTCGGAACAATATCTGAAGTGCAAAGGAAATGTTCGCAAGATCAAATCTCTGGCAGAATACTTTTGGTAGACAACCAATCAGCACTCAAATAATATTATAAACTGATACTTTTTATTCAAACCTTACTAGATTAGATATCAAAGCTATTTTATTTTATTGGTACAATATGGAGTATGAGTCTCTTGCACATATATTATTTGACTACAAAATGATTATTTTTCTTATTGGTAAGCAGAGAATATAAGTCATGTGATTGCAGTTGAATCACATTAATGCAACGCTGTTATGTATACGTTATGGGATTGGTTTAATATAAATTCCAAATCATAACTATATTACTGGTTTATAAGCGAATTATGTAACTGATATATTTATTGACTGCACGTTTAACTTCGAGAAACTGTTTATTAAAAATAGTGGTCATCTTATGACTCTTGAAACATTTAAAGAAACTGACTCATTGAAATATCTAAATTATCGCTTCATGAGAGCGTAAAAGTAATTAAAATTGTATTAAAGGATAAACGTTTCAAAACTGATTTTCTTTTTACATACTAACTTGTTAAATAAAATATATATTAAATTGTAAATAGTTTTTCTTCTGCTCATAGGATTCCCAGTATCTGTTAGAACAGGTTATCCTTCTGTAATCCCAGGTCAGCTAAGGTAAGGACTTGGTATTTGTCTTGTTTTGAAATTGCATTACCAACTAAGGTATAGGCAGAGAGATATTTAATTACATTTTTAAATCACTCTACTACCAAGTAATATTGGGTTAGAAGAGTTTTGTATTTATTTTATTATGCTGATAATTTTGCTATTTACCGCTAATAACCCAGTGTAGATATGAAACTTCTAATTATATTTAACTAAGTTTATTCCACACTGAAATTGGAAAACAGTATCGAAATAATTTTGATGAAGAGAATGTTTTGTTTGTTTCATATGTATTATAGGAAGTGAGCAATGTTTGAAGAATTATTAAAAGTCACAAGCAACTTATTTATATATGTATACATTTATATATTTTCTATATAACTGAAAAATAATATGTATGACAGCCCATGATATTGTCAATAGAATATTCAGAATGTGAAAACGTAATTCTACTTATTTTCCGGAAATAACCTTGTTTTCCATGTAGCAAGCCCGGCATGGCCAGGTGGATAAGGCGCTCGACTCACAATCTGAGGGTCGCGGGTTCGAATCCGCATCCCACCAAACATGCTCGCCCTTTCAGCCGTGGGGCGTTATAATGTGACGGTCAATCCCACTATT